ATAAAATCTTTTAAAAAATAAAAATAAAAACAAAATGATTTTAATCTGATTCTTTTTGGTTGTTTAAGAGATAAAAATCTGAAATGGAATTTTTTAAAAAGGGTCTGGAGCGCCTGGGTGGCTCATTCGGTTAAGTGTCTGCCTTTGGCACAGGTCGTGATCCCAGGGTCCTGGGATCGAGCCCCACATCAGGCTCCCTGCTCAGCAAGGAACCTGTTTCTCCTCCTCCCTCTGCCCCTCCTCCCCCCACCCCGCTCATGCTCTCTCTCTCAAATAAATAAAATCTTTAAAAAAAATTAAAAAGGTCTATGAAAACTGACAATACTCTTGAGGATATTCTTGTTCCAAAAAAATTAAAAACCATAAAATGAAAAAATAAACTATGTGAAAGAATTTAGGGGAAAACAATCAACAATTTTGCCGAAACCAGGCTACACTGCTGTCCTTAGTAATGTGTTGTACACTGAATTAAAAATAAAGAGAAGCTAAATGAGTCCATGTTCGTGAAATATCCAAAAAAAATATGTCTTCCTGCCATAATGAGCATTCAGTACCACATCTACATTTTATACAGCAATCCTTTCTCATATGGAGAGCCACACACCAACCGGTAATCGAGGCTTTCTTTCTCTGAGAAGGGAGTTAGAGGGATACAATGGGAACCTGAAAATTATCTTCACTGTACTGTTTTGACTTCTTAAAAGAACAGTTATTCAGTATTACTTATATACTATTTTTCTTTTATTTTAGATTTTATTTATTTATTTGAGAGAGAGCGAGAATGAGAGAGAGGGAGAGCATGGGGGGGAGGGTCAGAAGAAGAAGCAGACTCCCTGCCGAGCAAGGAGCCCGATGCAGGACTCGATCCCGGGACTCCAGGATAGCCCGATGCAGGACTCGATCCCGGGACTTCATAACCTGAACCGAAGGCAGTCGCTTAACCAACTGAGCTACCCAGGCGCCCCCACTTATATACTATTTTTTAAACATAGGTAGATTCTCACCTCATATGCCTTAGGATGGCCACTATCAAAAAACCAGAAAATAGCAAGTGTTAGCAAGGATACAGAGACAGTGGATCCCTTGTGCACTGCTGGTGGGATTGTGAAATGGTGCAACACCTAGGGAAAACACTGTGGAAGTTCCTCAAAAAATTAAACATAGAATTACCATTTGATCCAGCAATTCCATGTCTGGGCATAGATCCCCAAAAAACTGAAAACAGGGTCTTGAGGATACACTCAGGTTCACAGCAGCATTATTCACAATAGCCAAAAGGTGAAAGCAACCCTACTGTCAAGGACATTATGCTAAACAAAATAAACCAGTCACAAAAGACAAGTCCTGTATGAGTTCATTTACATGAGGCCTCTAAAGTAGTCAAATTCATAAAAAGAGAGAGTGAAATGGTGGTTACCAGGGCCTGGAGGAGGAAGAAATGGGGAAAAGTTTAATGGATAGAGAGTGTCAGTTTCCCAAGATAAGAAAGTTCTGGAGATTATCGTGCATCAATGTGAATATATTTAGCACTACTGAACTATACACTTAAAAATGGCTAAGATGGTAAATTTTTTGTTACATGTGGGGTTGTTTGTTTTTTTTTTTACCGCAATACAAAAAAATGAAACTAAAAAAATGGTTAAGATGGTAAAAAAAAAAAAAAAAAATTAATGCAGCCAGAGAGGAAAATAAACAGTACACCTCCTCAAAAAAAGCTTTTTCTCTTCAAAGCAGTAACCTTGATAGATCAAATACGGAGTCAGAATTTATTGCAACTATTTATATAACAAATTAATAAAGGGAATTTACTTTTAATATGTGATCATATGGCTTCCATTTCTAAATGCTTTCAGATCAAATTTTAAGCCTATAAGAAAAGCAGTCTCAGTACATTTGAAATATAAGTGAGAGAAGCAGATTAGAAAATGGCATTGTTTAAAAGGTAGGGGGTTGTTGTAAGTTTTCTGAAAATGTGAAACTGAGGGTATGTGTAAGTATGCCCACAAACAAGTCTAAAAAAATATTAACCATAGTTGTCTATAAAGGTGGAGGAATTAAGGGTGATTCTTTATGATTCTTTAGTATCTTCTGTATTTCCTAAAGTTTTTACAACATACATTGAGTCATTTTGTAATATGCAAAGAATGAAAAGTGGCTGGCTCCTGAGTATATTCTAAAGAATCTGCCAAAGTATGAAGATCACTCCAAATGAAGAGGGGTAAAAATATTTTGATCTGTGAAGATATTTTTTTAATAAATCTGCTGATCAGTGACACCATGTCTTGGAAGAAATGTATTGACAAGATAATTAAATCTATCCTCTCAAAACGACCATTTGGATGGGCATTCATTTAGATGTATAAATCTGGGAACACTTACACTTTCACAACAACAGAAACCACAATCATTTTAGTCTGTTTCATAGTAAATGGATTACAAAGTCAGTATTTTAAGAGTTCAGACCTTAACCTACAAATAGAAAAATGGTCTTCCAACTACAACAAATACAGAACTATTTTTTAAGAGTTTATTTATGAGAGAGAGGGAGCACAAGCAGGGGGAGGGACAGAGGGAGGGGCAGAGGGCAAGAAAGAAGCCGACTACTCGCTGAGCAGGGAGCCTGATGTAAGGCTCGATCTCAGGATCCCAGGATCATGACCTGAGTGGAAGGCAGAAGCTTAACCGAATGAGCCACCCAGGTGCCCCAAT